GCTCCAGACTACCTTCATTATTGAGCAGCAGGAGAAGCTACGACAAATCTTTGAAGAAATGCTTGCTAAGGAAAGAGAAGAGCAGAAGGAGAAATTACAGGAACTGAGGAAAGAGCATGAGATAGAGTTGGCAGAAACAAAGAGTCGAATTGAAAACGAGAAGAAGGAGCAAATGAAAGAGCTACAGAGAGAATGCCAAGAAGAGTCCAGGCAGCAAATGATGACGTTAATGAATGACCTACGAGCTGAGTTCACTCAAAATATGGCCGAAGTGAGAAAGAAATGCAACAAAGAGCACCAACAACAAATGGAAGATTTAAAAAAAGACTTTAAAAAGAGAGAGAAAGAAAGATTGGATGCTCTCAAGAAGCAATATGACACAGAGCACCAGAAGCAATTGATTGAGCTGAGGAAATACTACGAGGAAGAGCTAAAAGAGAAATATGAAGAGGAGGTCAAGGAGCAGATGCAAATGCTGGAGGTTGAGTACCACAACCAGAGGGAAAGACAAATGGACACACTACAGAAGCAATACTACACTGACAGGGAGCAACAGCTAACCAGCCTCAAGGAGCAGTATGAAGTCAGCAGACAAAAATTAGCAACAGAAATGAAGCAATTGTATAAGAGAGAGCACAAGATGAGAATGAAGGAATGCAAGGAGCAATGCACTAATGAACATGAGAGAATGAAGGAGGAGTATCGTATGCAGTCACAGGATCAGCTGAAAGAAGTCAGGGAAATGTTTGGAGCTGAAAAGGAAAAGCAAGCGGAAGAGTTCAAGGACTCATTGATTGCTGAGAAAGAAAAGTTGAAATTGACGTTTAAAGAGGAAATTGAGAAACTAAAACCAGAAGTTGTTTCATCTGTAAGTTATAGTTATTACATGGATACTCATACATGTCTTGTGCATAAAAGTCTATATTAGATCTATTTATAGTTCATCTCATTTGAATAATATTATTCATTCCAGGTTCCCAGGCGCCATTCAAGACCAAGGAGAGTACAAGAAGCAGAAGCAGACACATGTCATTTGATAGAAAAGTTACCTGGTGCTACTCCCATACCCCAAGAGGCTGTTGCAGGAGCCTCTTCACAGCAATGCCAGTATGATGACAAAAAGCTAATCATCAGAAATTTTCCAAAATGGTATACTGATAGAGATTTAACTCCAGTCATTGGGGCGGGCTTGCAGTTAGATACAATAACTGATTTCACACTTGAGCTCAAATCCTGTGTTGCTGTATTGACCTTCACTAAATCCAAAACAGACAAAGGTAATAAATGTACTGTATGTAATTAAGCTTGTTTTGATCTATCACTGCAGAAATGGATGACATCATAAAAAAAATAAAACTAGGGTTGGGTTGGACTGTAGAAAGATGTGAACACAATTGTGGCATTGCAATTGCTGGCATCAGGACATCATGTGCTACTGAAGCTAAACTAACAGAATATTTTGATGATTTTATGAAAGGTACTGTTGTTAAAGAAGTTAGAATATTATACAAAAATGGAAAATGGCTCGCTAAAGTGACTTTTAAAGATCATTCAGGTATTACAGTATATCATTATTAGCATACATGTAATTATTTGTATTTATTTTTTGCTTCTGCAGTGATTCCACCAATCATGGCAGCAAACCATGCAATAGCACTAGGGCTTAATGTTACAATAAAGGAATGTTCAGTGTTTGATGCCCTGGGTCTATCAAGTGATCTTGATGAAATCAGTAAAGAGAACAGTATTAGATCAATTTGGGACAAATTATGGAATGATAAGTCTGTCTCATTAAACAAATAGTTACAATCATGCTATTATAATTTTAGTTTATGCCAATGGCAATAAGAACTGAGGTATAAAAACTGTAACAATTACACATACATAGTCTGTTAGCTCCAGATCTGTATAGCATTAATAATTTTTCAAATCCTTACAAAATAACTTTACTTGCAGATTAAATTTTTGCAGTTTGGTAGTTATTATACTTGGGGTCACTCAAAATTTCATTATTTGCAGAATTAAATTTTGCAGTTTTTGAATTTTGATGCATCCACAAATTGCAAAAACAAGATCTCATGAAAATTCTCATGCTATACAGTAACTGACAAAAAGGGCTATAAATTTTAACCCTTTATTATCATAAGCCTCAAGAATCACTACATGCTACATGTACATTCTGTAACTCACTTGGTTGCCAGCCAACAGGTGAGACAGCAGTACTGGCTTGACTGATCTTGTGTGCATAATGAATGAGTTTCTCAGGTGACACTGCCCCTAATATAAATAATGATAAATTATGAAACTGATACTACTACACTACATGCATCTCACTTACCTTGCTGTGCTTTCTCAATTGAGTCCAACTTCTGTTTTCCCTGATGCACTGTCAACTCCTGAAAAATTAATAAAAACAGTAGCAATAATTATTATGGCATAACTGCATAATTCTATCTTCAGTAGCATCAAGAGTGGATAATTATTTAGGGAGAGGGTCTAACCTGCCTATAGAGGATATGCGTGCTAAGTATATTCATAGCTTTTAAGTACCGTATATCGAACCCACACAGTAAATTGGCCGCCATGTTGGACGTCAAGTTTATTAAGAGTTCAATGGGGGAAAACACATTTTCTTGCCTTGCTACCTTCTTGAGGCCTTTTTCGGAAGCTTAGAAAGCATCCTGAGGATCTAATGGGGTCTAGTAGTCACCTGAAAGATTGCTATCAAGAAATACAGAGCGGTTTTCTGGTACCAAGCCTTTTTCTATCTTTTCTCCATTGCTGCCAATGGAAAGTTGACGTCCAATGAACTAATTTTTTTTCTTGAAAATTATTACGGTATGCAATGAATACATTTATTTTGCAATGAATATGCTTAGCACGCATATCCTCTATTGACTGTGATACCACAGCGCGTATGTTTACATCCGTTTTTTGCAAGTATATGGAGATAATCCCAGTAATCTTCAAAATTATGGGTGTGGTTGATAAAATGGCGCTTGAAGCATGCAGGCAACTTTAAGACTTATATCTCCACTCTGAGGATCATGTAGTGCGAGAAACAAGCAGGAGCAGATGGGAATATATTCTTCTAATGGTTGGCTACTTCTTTTTTGCAGCTTTTTGACTTGGAATGAATATAAGGATGCAAGAATGCCTACTTGGTGCTAATCACCATGCTATGTAAACATATGCACTGTGGTATCACAGATTATAGGCGTGTTAGACACTCTTTCTAAATAATTATCCACTCTTGGTAGCGTTAATATTGTTAATTTTGTTATTGCTGATGGGATTTTCCCTTCACTTACATCTTAATCTCATACCACACTGAAAGGTTAATAAAAACACAACACCATACTCAATAGTCAATACCTCTAATTTTTACTAGCTTACCACTTACTTACCAGTAGTTTCTCAGCATCATAAAGTCTGTTCTGAAGGTCCTCAAGGTCATTCTTACGCATGTCAATCTGATTCTCAAACCAATCAATATCACGCTGCCTCCCTCTCATCTGTATAGCTAAGAAATATAATAATAATAATAAATAAAAATAATAATAAATAATAATAATAATTAATGTTATTAGTTTTGTGGGTTTTCTTCTTTTCATTATAGTAAAAAATTTTAATTGCTCTACAATTTGATGAACCATACATTACATGGTACTGCCTGGTATTCATTGAAAATGGCTAGGAAATATTTCTTATATTATTTTTTCTAATACATTTTTTGTTGTGCTGATTTCAATTTTTTTTAAATTTTAGCACTGCACAAAATTTGACAAAAGACCCTGTAGGCTGTAGTACAGGTAATTTAATTCATCAAAAATGGCTAGGAGAGAATTCTCCATTTGTTATAATTTTTCTGATGCATATACATGCAAATAAGTATGTTGTGAATGAATTTTGAGCAAGTACTGATCAAAATTGAATTTCTAAAGTTGCTCTAAAATTTGACACAATACCCTGTACTATAGTACGGGATAGTACAGGGTCAATAGCTGAATTTTACCAAAAATGGCAAGAGAATTTTTCATTTTTATAATTTCTTCTGATACACATACATGTTTTTATGTTGTATAGCAAGTTTGAGCTAATTCAGATCAAATTGAATTTTTTATGAATTTTTATGTACTGAAGTACATGTATTATGGTCTTTGGCCAAATTTCATCAAAAATAATGGCTATATAGGAGGGACTTCATTTTTAACCCACTTTCTGATAAATTATTTTCCTACCATAATTTCTGAACAAAGTTAGATTTATAATTAGCAAAAAAATTAAAGCATAGATTGTATAATAACATGCAAAGTACCTGTTTCTACTAGAGCTTGAATCTCTTTATCTCTATCAATCAATTTATCCAGAACCTACAAGAGATCTACATAATAATATGAAAGGATAGAAAGCCCGCAATATATACATATACATGTAACTAAATTTATACTATTGGTGAGCATATATGCTATGAGTAGAGAGGTTCAATTATACTTTATGTAGTCTGTGATGCATGCATTCGTTGCTATGATTATGATGAGA